GGACTTTTTTTTAGACGGAGTATAGGTCTATATGTTTCTAGAACATTGTATTTACGTATCCCTAACGATAACACCAGCGGACGCAGATATATCATTTCGGGAGTGCTTTTTCTTCTGACTTGCTTAACAAATATCCATATTTAAGGCTAGCTGAGTAATATAGCTTAATGCTAGATAGCCTATACTATTCCACATGAATCTGGCTATAATATACAAAAATAATCTTTCAAATCGGACTGGTAGTTCCAGAGATTAGCGCGTTTAAACAAACAAAAAAACTCTTCCGCTTTATTATATTAGTATAGATAATGTCTCATACGGTGACAAGTTTCATCCAATCTATGTCGCTCCGTATCGTCTTCAAGTAAACTAATATAATATGAAGTTCATTCTCAACAACTACACTACTCTCTATTTTACATTTTCCTACATACCATGAATAAAGAAACCAAATAAAAAAAAGACAATGAAACTTACGAATTGATTTGAATTTATTTCAAAATTAAATACATCTAAAAGTTACACGGAAAAATAATGTACTTAAAAGAAAACAATCACACGCTTAAATAACAAAAGAAATGTTTGGACGGAAAACATAAAAAGCACACGTTATATATTATGGTTCACCTATAAACTACATACTTAATAAAATATAAAATACATATGTGCGGAGATTCGATCGTTTTATAAAAATATAAACTAGAACTTAATCACTAGGTTTTTAGTCACCGGTGAGGAATGCTCGACAAGGATCAATACGGATCAAGACCAGATTTCTTTTAGATTAAAACAAAATATTAGTTAAGTGGGGGATGATACGAAATATATATATATATATATATATATATATATATATATATATATATATATATATATATATATATATATAATCGTCAACTTGCAAATTAAGGCATACTTAATGCGTTTAATATTCTCTTTGATAGTAGAAAACGTTGAAAGTGGTATCTGACAAACTGATGGCAACATTATGATTTTTTTTAAGATTACTTAACTTTAAACAAAAATCCATTATAAAAATCCTAGACATCTTCTAGAAAGGAAGCTGATAAAATATACAACATAGCAACTGTTATAACTCCTCAAAAATGTTATAGCAAAACAAATATTCTTCATTTTTCATCACAATAGAAAATGCCTTCAAAATTACAAGGATATTTCATTATTTATTTGTTTATACTACTTATACTTGTATGACAATTTTTATGTTTCCATATATTATTTCATATCACTAAATAGTTAAAGAAAAAGATTTTTGTACATTCGTACAAAACAAACCAGTTTGTACAATTTGTTACAATTTTTTTTTTATAGTAACTCAAATATACGTACATATTTTTATTTCATATATCAGACCATCAAAGAATGCCAGAATGCCGTAACCATGTACAACCCGTAAAAGTACACTGCTGGGAGTACACATATGCACCTAAACTATGTTATTGGTTGCAATTAATTTTTGATGCATATGTGTACGTTATTGCGTGCGTTGCGTTCGTACATTAAATTTAGCAAAACTTTGGACGTGGTTTTTGCTTCAAGTACTTTGCGTAGGTAGCACTCCGACTTTCTTTCTTTATTGGTCAAAGTTTCATATACAAAAAAAAAATCGGGATAAAATAAATATAAAATGTAACATTACTGTTGTTTCTTATTTTAGTAAAGAATTTGTGCTTTTTACATTTTTAAAGCAATAAAGTAATAGACATTGATTGGTGTTTTTATTCATATATCGATAAATGTGTTTATTTAATATGTAAATCATGTATGACTGAGTATACGAAAGACCGGTTACTTTCATGACCTACTTTAAAATGTCTATAATCAATCGTAAGATTAGCATTTAGTACATCTATAAATAAAATAGCAAAATATATACGCTAATGTACAAACGTTCTAAAATTAATTATAACCTAAAAACACAATATATTTTGTCATTGGATTTTATATTAAAAAAATGTATATGTTGTATTTTTTTATTAAAACTTAGCAATTGTAAGCACGATAAATATTTTGTTAAATTGTTTCAAGATCTTAAGAAAACTAAGAGATTCTTCAAAATTTTTGTGTTTACGATTGTCATGTTGGTGGACAACTAACATCATTTATTGTCTTAGAAAATAAAAATGACATATCAAATTGGTGTTTATTTGTAATAAAAAATAATGGGAACTGTAAAATTGTCGTTTTAATTTATTTGGAATGTGACAAACTATTTGACACGCGTGCAAAACATTTCATTTATGTTTTATATTAAAATAATAGAAAATATGGAGCACATTGTTTTACATATATTGCTTTGTCAATATTTAACAGCCATATTTCGCAGCAATATTTAAACAGTGTGATGATTAAGCCACTGTGGTTGATATTGGAGCCACATATTGCCAAGACAATACGATTTATTTAAAAGCTCTTTAAATCAATAGTATCCGAAAAAAAGGACTGATTTAAAAAATATTTTATAATAAATAATTTAATATGGCAACAACTAAAAAAGGTTCAATTTAATTTTTTGTTTTTATCATGAAAATGTGTAAAAAAACTATAATAATAGTGTTGTTCATGTGATGATAAGTCACATGGGAATTTAAAAAAATTAGAATGATAAGGAGTAGTAATTTTGTAACGAATGGAATCTGTTTGTCACTTGTTATTTTTGTGTGTACCTAATAGAATGAAAATTCCTTCTTATTTTAATTTGGTACATTACGAAAAACAGGAATTAGCTTATGTTGAGATTTCCTTTTAAAGCTAATGTTAATTGTAAGATAGTTTAACAGTTAAATTACTTTATTGTTAAAACAATAAGGTAATTTATATAAGACTTCCCGCTTTTTATGTGTAAACTGTAATTATTACTGAAGTGCGGTATTACTTTACGTCGACTCGTTATCTGTGGCGATTGATTAAATAAAATAGCAGCTTATACTCATGAGTTTACACACATTTAAACAAAAAGAAATTATAAATGTTCGTTCGAATACAGATGTGGCGGAATGTGGGGCTGTGGAAGAGTTCAAGATGGAGGGGTCAAGTGGTAGCCCAGTAGAGGTGAGGTACACAGCGGTGTGACGACGCGGTGGGCGCGAGTGGTGCGGGGCGGGTGCGGGGCGGCGCTGCGTGCGCTGTCGCTAGATGAAGAACTCGCGGCGCTTGGTGACGCGCGCGCCCGTGGCGGCGGCGCGGGGCGGGTGCGGGGCGGCGCTGCGTGCGCTGTCGCTAGATGAAGAACTCGCGGCGCTTGGTGACGCGCGCGCCCGTGGCGGCGGCGCGGGGCGGGTGCGGGGCGGCGCTGCGTGCGCTGTCGCTAGATGAAGAACTCGCGGCGCTTGGTGACGCGCGCGCCCGTGGCGGCGGCGCGGGGCGGGTGCGGGGCGGCGCTGCGTGCGCTGTCGCTAGATGAAGAACTCGCGGCGCTTGGTGACGCGCGCGCCCGTGGCGGCGGCGCGGGGCGGGTGCGGGGCGGCGCTGCGTGCGCTGTCGCTAGATGAAGAACTCGCGGCGCTTGGTGACGCGCGCGCCCGTGGCGGCGGCGCGGGGCGGGTGCGGGGCGGCGCTGCGTGCGCTGTCGCTAGATGAAGAACTCGCGGCGCTTGGTGACGCGCGCGCCCGTGGCGGCGGCGCGGGGCGGGTGCGGGGCGGCGCTGCGTGCGCTGTCGCTAGATGAAGAACTCGCGGCGCTTGGTGACGCGCGCGCCCGTGGCGGCGGCGCGGGGCGGGTGCGGGGCGGCGCTGCGTGCGCTGTCGCTAGATGAAGAACTCGCGGCGCTTGGTGACGCGCGCGCCCGTGGCGGCGGCGCGGGGCGGGTGCGGGGCGGCGCTGCGTGCGCTGTCGCTAGATGAAGAACTCGCGGCGCTTGGTGACGCGCGCGCCCGTGGCGGCGGCGCGGGGCGGGTGCGGGGCGGCGCTGCGTGCGCTGTCGCTAGATGAAGAACTCGCGGCGCTTGGTGACGCGCGCGCCCGTGGCGGCGGCGCGGGGCGGGTGCGGGGCGGCGCTGCGTGCGCTGTCGCTAGATGAAGAACTCGCGGCGCTTGGTGACGCGCGCGCCCGTGGCGGCGGCGCGGGGCGGGTGCGGGGCGGCGCTGCGTGCGCTGTCGCTAGATGAAGAACTCGCGGCGCTTGGTGACGCGCGCGCCCGTGGCGGCGGCGCGGGGCGGGTGCGGGGCGGCGCTGCGTGCGCTGTCGCTAGATGAAGAACTCGCGGCGCTTGGTGACGCGCGCGCCCGTGGCGGCGGCGCGGGGCGGGTGCGGGGCGGCGCTGCGTGCGCTGTCGCTAGATGAAGAACTCGCGGCGCTTGGTGACGCGCGCGCCCGTGGCGGCGGCGCGGGGCGGGTGCGGGGCGGCGCTGCGTGCGCTGTCGCTAGATGAAGAACTCGCGGCGCTTGGTGACGCGCGCGCCCGTGGCGGCGGCGCGGGGCGGGTGCGGGGCGGCGCTGCGTGCGCTGTCGCTAGATGAAGAACTCGCGGCGCTTGGTGACGCGCGCGCCCGTGGCGGCGGCGCGGGGCGGGTGCGGGGCGGCGCTGCGTGCGCTGTCGCTAGATGAAGAACTCGCGGCGCTTGGTGACGCGCGCGCCCGTGGCGGCGGCGCGGGGCGGGTGCGGGGCGGCGCTGCGTGCGCTGTCGCTAGATGAAGAACTCGCGGCGCTTGGTGACGCGCGCGCCCGTGGCGGCGGCGCGGGGCGGGTGCGGGGCGGCGCTGCGTGCGCTGTCGCTAGATGAAGAACTCGCGGCGCTTGGTGACGCGCGCGCCCGTGGCGGCGGCGCGGGGCGGGTGCGGGGCGGCGCTGCGTGCGCTGTCGCTAGATGAAGAACTCGCGGCGCTTGGTGACGCGCGCGCCCGTGGCGGCGGCGCGGGGCGGGTGCGGGGCGGCGCTGCGTGCGCTGTCGCTAGATGAAGAACTCGCGGCGCTTGGTGACGCGCGCGCCCGTGGCGGCGGCGCGGGGCGGGTGCGGGGCGGCGCTGCGTGCGCTGTCGCTAGATGAAGAACTCGCGGCGCTTGGTGACGCGCGCGCCCGTGGCCGCGGCCAGCGCCGCCGAGTCCGGGTCCGCCGCGCCGTCCGCGCCGCGCTCCTCCTGCGCGACCACAACACCTTACTTTACATAACATGTTATATCAACGATCCGCTCCGGCTTCGCACGGTTGATTTCGGAATCTAGACAACAACGCCACCTACCGGATCCAAATGTAAATCTACACCATTCTCTAATCAACTCAATCATCATCATTACAGCCTTTCATAAGTCCACTGCTGAACATAGGCCTCCCCCAAGGAATGCCACAAAGCACGGTCCTGAGCCACCTGCATCCATCGACTTCCTGCATGTCTTACCAAGTCGTCACTCAATCTCGTGGGAGGTCGCTCTACACTACACCTACCGGTACGAGGCTGCCACTCTAGAACCTTTCTTCCCCATCGGTTGTCGGTTCTTCGAACTATATGGCCGGCCCACTGCCACATCAGCTTACTAATCCGTTGGGCTATGTCGGTCACTCTGGTTGTACTGCGGATATCCTCATTTCTGAGTTTATCACGCAGTGAAACTCCGACCATAGCCTTCTCTATAGCTCGTTGAGCGACCTTAAGCTTCCTCATACGACCAGCAGTGAAGGACCACGTCTCACATCCGTAAGTCATCACTGGCAACACGCACTGGTTGTATAATTTCGTTTTAAGGTTTTGAGAAATGTCCGACGAGAAGATGTATCGTAGTTTCCCGAACGCTGCCCAGCCAAATTGAATTCATCGATTGACCTCTCGGTCGAAGTTGGACTTACCTAGTCGGACTATTTGTCCCAAGTAAACATACTCGTCAACAACTTCGAGCTTAGTGCTCCCAACAACTACCAGCATAGGTGTGACATGGCCATTGAACATGATCTTTGTTTTGTCCATGTTCATCTTAAGACCTATCCGTTGGGAGACACTATTGACGTCATTGAGCATGATGCTTAGATCCTCCAGCTATTCTGCCACAAAGACTATATCGTCGGCAAATCGAAGGTGAGTGATGTACTCTCCATTGATGTTAATACCATATCCTTTCCAGTCCAGAAGCTTGAAAACGTCTTCCAATGCAGCGGTGAAGAGTTTCGGGGATATAACGTCACCCTGTCTTACACCTCTCTGCAATTGGATAGATTTCGTACTCTGGTTCTGTACTCGGATAGCCATTGTAGCTCTACTGTACAAGCACTTCAACACTTCGATATACTGACAGTCAACTTGGCATCACTAAAGGGACTGCAGCACCGCCCAAATTTCGACGGAATCAAAGGCTTTCTCATAGTCCACATACGCCAGACATAGTGGCAAATTGTACTCCTCGGACTTCTGTACAATTTGCCGAAGGGTATGTATGTGATCTATGGTGCTAAAGCTCTTTCGGAAACCGGCTTGTTCGGGAGGCTGGAAGTCGTCAAGACTGCGCGCGAGACGATTCGTAATGACTCTCGAAAACAGCACGTAGACGCGGCTCAGAAGGGAAATCGGTCTGTAGTTCTTCAAGAGAGCGTTGTCGCCTTTCTTGAAGAACAAGACCACCGCACTTCTGCTCCATGCCTCCGGTGTAATGCCACCATGGAGGACGGAATTAAAGAGCTTCTAAAGGACTTCAGGTACCGGTCTTCCACCCGCTTTCAGAAGCTCCGCTGTAATTCCATCCTCGCCTGGGGCCTTGCCGTTTTTAAGGTGCTGGAGAACCATTCTAATCTCGCTCAGACTGACGTCCGGGATATCTTCGGAATAGTGTCGGATAAGACTCGCTCTTGGATCGTTACTCACACTCGCGTGTGGCTCCAACGATGACGTGTACAGCTGCCCATAGAACCTCTCCATCTCACTCAAAATCTCAGGTGCCCCGAAAACGATGCTGCCACACTCGGTCTTCAGCCTTGACAGTTGGCTCTTTCTGGCAGACAGATCTCTGGCAAAGACTTTGGAGCCTTGGTTTCGCTCGATCGCTTCTTCATTACGAGCTTTCTTGAAGTTGCGTAAGTCCCGCCGCATGCATTTGGAGATCTGTCTGTTCAGTTGCCTGTATGCTGTCAAATCTGTTGAAGAATGTAGCTTCATCTCCCGTCTAACAGTCATGAGATTAAGAGTGTGATCGGAGAGTTTTTGTGTTCTTCTGCGGCAAGTCTTGCAGAACTTAGCTCCGACCGCATGGACAGTTTCCACGAGCTTGTCATTCTTATCGTCCACTTCATTGCAGTTTTCTAGGCACTGAAAACGGTTTTGTAACTCGAGCTGAAACGTTTCAGGACTTCGGAACAGAGCACGAGGGGGACGGAGCGTTGACTTCATTAGACGAGACCTCTCCAAAGTTTAGGTTCAGTGTGCCTCTAACCATTCGGTGATCGCTACCGGTTTTCACCCTCGCGATCACGGAGACATCACTGAACAGTTGTCGTCTGGTCGTCATAATAAAGTCAATCTCATTTTTTATCGAACCGTCGGGGCTCGACCAGGTCCACTTCCTGTGGGACCGCTTCTGGAAGAAAGAGTTCATCATAAAGAGTCCCTCTTTCTCCATGACGTCGGCCAGCCGCTGGCCCCTTGGGTTCCGTTGCCCTATTCCAAATTTGCCTACTTTCAGTTCACCGTTCTCTCTTGTGCCTAGTTTTGCATTGAAGTCTCCCATTAACACCGTATATTGGGTTTTGCAGGAATGCATGGCTCTAGAGATATCCTCATACGTTTCCTCCACATCCTTCATCGGGGTGTGCCGAGGTTGGTGCGTAAACCTGTGAATAGGAATTTGATCTCTTTTTAATAGTAAAATGCAGTAATTTGCTCAATCGACCTTTACTTGATCTCTAAATTTTACAACGACGACAGGTACAACATTTTTTTAAACATACCTACACAGCTTACGGACTAATATTGGCATGAGAACTGCTAATATAATTTGACAGGCGCTTCAACATGCCCCCCGGTGTTGAAAGTCTACCTTTCAACCAGATTCTTCAGGTTCAGGAAGCGGACAAATTTTGCTAAATGATCGGCGAACTATACCGGTCGATGTTTTGATATCCGCCACCCTTGATACGCCGTCCGAGCCTGGATGGACTGCGACGATGCGACCCATCTTCCACTTTAATGGCGGTGAATTCTCCTCTTTTAGGAGTACCAGTGAATTTAACTTCAAAGAGCCTTTACAGGAACGCCATTTCATCCGCAGTTGAAGCTCTGATATATATTCCTTGCTCCATCTAGCCCAAAAATGTTGACGTAATTGTTCTATTCGTAGAAATCGGGTTAAAGAGCTTACGGAATGATCTTTATAGTCTGGTGTCGGCAAGGAAGTCAAGGGGCGTCCAATCAAAAAATGACCGGGCGTTAGTGGTAGCAAGTCTTCAGGATTCGTTGACAAAGGTGTGAGTGGTCTGGAGTTAAGTATAGCCTCAATTTGTATTAATGTGGTATTTAGTTCCTCGTAAGTCACATTACAATTGCCCAGCACTCTAACTAAATGATATTTAATGCATTTGACACCAGCCTCCGCAAGCCCAGCAAAATGGGGAGAATAAGGCGGTATGAAATGGAAATTAATTCCTTCATTTGCCATTACCTCAGATAAAGAATTACAATACGTCCTAATAAATTTTGAAATGTCATTGTATGCGCCTACAAAGGAGGTACCATTATCCGAATAAATATTAAGAGGTTTCCCTCTTCTAGACATAAATCTGCGCAAAGCTAATATGAAGGTATTGCTAGTTAAATCACCCACTAATTCAAGATGAATTGACTTAGTCGCGAAGCAAATAAAAATAGCTATATACACCTTTACAATTTTACAACCACGGCCATGGCGAGAAACAGATTGAATTGGTCCCGCATAGTCTAGTCCAATATTTTGAAATGGAAAACCAGAAAGGATGCGTTGGTGTGGTAGGTTGCCCATTATTGGAGAGATGGTTTTTCCTTTCATTCTATTACATCTTACACATTGTCGATAACAAGATCTGGCCAAATTACGACCTCTAATCGGCCAGTACATCTCTCTTATAGTGGCCAACATTAGCTGTGGTCCCGCGTGCATTAACCTTATGTGCTCATAATTGAAGAGCAATTTGGTAAAATAATGAGTGGACTGTATAAGTATGGGATGTTTTTTCTCATAACAGTAATCGGAATTTTCAAGACGCCCTCCAACACGCATTATTTTATTATCATCGAGAAATACATTAAATTTATGCAACGGACTTTTAGTGGGTAAACTTTTATTTTTAATTAACATGGTGTATTCCTCAAATGATTCACTCTGGGATATTCTTATAATAACATTGAGTGCGGTTTGCAACTCTTGATTGCTTAGAGGACCGTGAACGGATTGCTTTCTACAATTATTAATAAAACGCAGCACATAAGCAACGGTCCGATTTAATCTAGTATATTTAGAAAAGCGTTTAAATTCAATTAATTTATTCCCACCTAAATCTTCATTGTTGCTAGAATGAAGTATTCCGTGGAGGATAACATTTGACAATTTAATCTCAGGCAACTCGTGATTAATACTTAAGAAATTTGCAGGCCAGTGAGAGACCTCTTTCTTTAAAAATTCAGGTCCTGACCACCACTTACTCATGGATGAAATATCCTTACAACTCACACCGCGAGAAATATGATCGGCCGGATTACACTCTGTTGGGACATGCCTCCACTCGCAATTTCCAGTCTTCTCTAATATTTCAGCAACCCTATTTCTGACAAAGGGTTGTAGCTTGCTAGGTAACACCTTTAACCATCCTAACACGATGGACGAATCTGTCCAAAAGAAAGTGCGCTTAGCCTGTTGTCTCAGCGATGCTACAACCTTTTGGTAAAGGCGAGCTCCAACAAGTGCACCACAAAGTTCCAGTCTTGAGATTGTTATAGGTTTAAGCGGCGCGACACGACTTTTCGCCATCAATAATTGAATTAAAACCTCACCCTGATCATTAACACTACGCACATATAAACAGGCGCCATATGCTCGCTCAGAAGCGTCCGAGAAAATATGAAATTCAAACAAACTAGGCGAGTCACAAATAACACGACGTGGAATACGTAGAGTATTTAATTTAGGTA